CCCCCCCCTTCGGCAGACGGGAGGGGAAGGCGGTGGGTGGGGGGATCCCCTCGGGCGGGGGGCCAGGCAATTGCGGGATGGGGGGGCTGCCTGCATCCCGTTCCAGCAAGGCAGGCTGGGGCGGTCACCTGTCTTCTCCAGCCTGGCGGGGAGGCAGTCAGGGGGGAACCGCCCATGCCCATCTCAGGCGGGGAGAGTCTGGGGACGGCCCGTGCTCCCCTCAGGCGGGGGAGAGACAGTGGGGGGGTGAGCGCTCCCCTCAGGCGGGGGAGACACACTAGTGGGGGGGTGAGTGCACCCCTCAGGCGGGGGAGAGACAGTGGGGGGGTGAGCGCCCCCCTCAGGCGGGGGAGAGACAGTGGGGGGGGTGAGTGATCCCCTCAGGCGGAGGAGAGACAGTGGGGGGGGTGAGCGCACCCCTCAGGCGGGGGGAGGCACGGTGGGGGGTGAGTGATCCCCTCAGGCGGGGGAGAGACAGTGGGGAGTGGGCGTGGCCCCTGCTTCCCTCAGGCGGGAGGGGGGAATTGGCCGCCCCTGCATTCCCCTCATGTGGGGGCGGGGGGCACGCGCTTCCCTCTGGCAGAGCTGACCTCCCCTCCTCCCCACTCCGATTGGCTTAGGCAGCCCTCCATCCTCCAGCGTTCACCCAATCACAAGGCTCCAACTCCCTGGGCCAGGTGAGCACCCTGCAGCCTTCCCCCATCTCCTCTCATCTGCCCGGCAACAAGCCTGGCTTCCCTTCTTCCTCACACCCCTTACCCCAGGTTAGGCTGGTAACCCTGAGGGCTGCAGCAGAAACCTTGGACACGGGTGCACGCCTGCAGTAAGATCCGCCGCCCCTATCCTCGCTTCTAGGTAACGCTGCAGCCAGGTTAGCTGGGCCGGCCTTGGAAGCCCCTTGCTCCCAGGGCCTGCGGGGCTGCGTAGATCGGCCCTAACCCCGTCACCCTGGACTCTCATTCGCTTGTCTGAGAACGAGGATCCCCAGCCCTGCGGAAGGGTGGTGTAGCTTGAAAGAACGGCCAAAGTGGGTCAGGCCAAAGGTCCATCCAGCCCCCTATCCTGTCTTCTGACAGCAACTTGTTTCTTTTACCACCAGAGAAAAGATACAACCTCACCCACCTTGTCTCTCACACCAACGCCCTTGAGGAATTCTGAAAATTCTCACAAGGTACCAGTCTTCCCTTTTATTAGTAGTCAGAGCAGCAGCCCTGGAGACCCCCAGAGAGATTGGGAACCGGACGCTGTACAGTCACGTAATGAGATGGTTGGTCTCTGCCCCAAGGGCTTCACAATCCA